TTAGTTCCGTACCAACAAAGTAACATGATTATTCGACAGCATGCTAGACTAGTACTGTCTGAGCTGTAGTCGGCGCAGAGGCATTATGAAGCTGGGATAATTGGTTTTCCACAAAACTCTTTCCTAGCATATATATTAACATAAGAATTTGCTAAACGTGCTATGTACAGGCTTTGTGGTATGCTATCATGCAACGCAAGGTGAACGCGGATTTCAAGTATGTTGTTCTACATGTGAATATGGCACCCAGCTACTGATTTGACAACACGCAATCCTAAAGCATTTAGAGGGGGACCACTGTCTTCAAACAAGATAGTTTTCAGAGCTTATCATATGGCCTCAAAATTACCTACCAATAACAAAGAAAACAGCGTAGCTGGTCCATAACGAAGATGTGACATACAGGCATGCGCAGTAGTTTATTGTCGCTTCTTTGAGTGCATTCTAATTCCTAAGTTTATTTATGTGCAATGATCCCCTGCAGCACCGATTGGCCAACTGTTGAATGTGAGCGATGAAGATGAAATTTATTGATACGGTGACTTTCAAGTACTTGAGTGTGGTAGCTATAGCTCACTGGTATACTGCAGACGTCCAGGGTGATGTGGAAAATTAATAAGTGCATGTTCTTCTTCAATATCCCGCTTATATCATATCATCATGTCGATCTCAGTTTATTGGACAGGTTTGCTTTTGGCTTTTGAATGAAATTTCTGTAAAATAATCGTAAATACGTGTTTCGGTTCACATTAGCAGTGGTACTTATGATTTTACATATAAGCATCTAAATTACAATTTCTTTGCCTATGATTCTTTGTACAATTTTTTTTTGATTTGTTGCAATAATCAATTCAGCTCTTCCAGGTCTATCGTTATATAGCTCTTTAGTATACATCCTTCGCTCAGATATTACTTATGCTGCGTAATGTGTTACTGTTCAGTGGTCATCCGTTTTTACCGGTACCGGGTGAAATTAATTTACTTTTAAGTCCAGACCTATAAGTGTGGTTTTAACCGCCTATATCCATGGCGTAAACTTTAACATGAAATTACATTGCTGACGCTAGGTGTAATGGTAGGCTTCGTAATAATCCAGTAAAACTCGGCTGTAACTGGCTCAAACTGAACCGCAAATCAGTTTCAATCCATACCGGCATAGAAGGTTTACCACTTCGGACGTTAGAAACAATGTAACAGAATCAGCGGCATTCTTTTCAAATAAATCAATTGTTTACGTGTTGTGCCTAACAAAACCGTATTCATCCTGATTTTCAGGTAACTTTTACATTTAGTAGTAAATGAAATTTATTTTACAGTAGTACCTTACCGTCTAGAGTAGTAATTCATCGATACCGATATGGACTGAAATTGAATCACTGTTCAGTTCTAAGTAGATGACCTTTCATTATAACCGGTTAAACGACAAGACTAAGAAATTCGTCGGTGACATTACTTTTTATATCAATTGCGGGTAGACGTAAATATGATTACACATTTGGTATGGTCAAATAGATAAATAAAACGTAAAGATAATGATATAGGTCAGAAGTTGCAGAAATAATCATCGGAGTAGTTGTTTAGCCCCTAGATTTGATCGACGTTCTGACTTGCATTAGATCAGAACAAGAGCTAGCGACAAGCAAACGTTAGCACGACGTAAAAATTCTGAATCTGGGCCTCTAGTTTAAAGTGTTATTGGTTTGCCGATTCATACTTCAAAGGAAACAAACAGTACAGATATTAAAATTTGATGCCAACGTGTCTCGTTATGCGTGACAGGCCATCGTCAGGATGCAACTGATATGCAGGTAGATAGCCGCCATATCACCATCATTCAACCTTTAAACCATTAGCCTCATCATCGTTCCACTGCTGGTTGAAGGCCTCTTCAAGATTTGGCAATCGGCCTCTGCTTTCTGTCATTTTCATTCATGCTGATCCGGCGAATTCATCTAATCTTGAATTCGATCTGGAAGTCTTTCGTGGGCCATATGTTCCCCTTTGAAACCGAGTCTAATGTCTTTGGTCCATCCAGCTATATTATTTAAACTAAATACATATAGTTCGCAATACCCTCAGCGGAATGCAGATAAGTTTTGCACAACATGACTTTTCAGAGGGACGCTCCCTCAGTCAAGCGAGTGTCTATAAACGCCAAGGACCAGACAAGGTTTGCTCTCTTAAGAAACAAACTCCTGCATATTTTCGCGATGAAACACCGTATGTGCAATTAAAACGTCTCTTCTACAGTGAAAAATGAAAGCTGGAGAATTACCAATCTGATAACTAGTGCTTCAGATTGAAATCTTATATTTAGTTATCTATA